CACTAGTTTATGCTTCTTGGCTCACCTAGGAAGTCTTGCAAATACACCGGAACTAATTAGTTTGTCCCCCGCAGGGTTTTTTGCCCTAATGTAGACATGTTGTTCGAAAACTACAAGAGTACTGTAATTTACAATACATCGCGCACTTGCGCTTACCAACAACTTTGCTCTGAACACCGGGCGCCCAGAGAGCCCGGTGCGTAGTAGCAGTCGTAGTAGTAGTAGTAGTAGTAGTAGTAGCAGCAGCAGTAGCAGCAGCTGCAACAATAAAGGTATCAAGAGAAAAGCCGCGTAGCAGCAGCAGTAGTAGTAGGAGTAGGAGTAGGAGTAGTAGTAGTAGTGGTAGTGGTGGCGGTAGCGGTAGCGGTAGGAGTAGGAGGAGGAGCAGTAGTAGTAGTAGTAGTAGTAGTAGTAGTAGCAGTAGCAGTAGCAGTAGTAGCAGTAGTAGTAGTAGCAGCAGCAGTAGTAGTAGTAGCAGTAGTAATTAGTAGTAGTAGTAGTAGTAGTTGTAGTTGTTGTTGTTGTTGTTGTAGTTGTAGTTGTTGTCGTAGCAGCAGCAGCAGCAGCAGCAGCAGGAGGTGTAGTAGAGCAGTGATAGTTTTAATGGTGGTAGTAGTAGTAGCAACAGCAGGAGCAGCAGGAGCAGTAGGAGTAGTAGTGGCAGTGGTAGTGGTAGTGGTAGTGGTGCTAGTAGTAGCCATCGTCGTAGTCGTAGTAGTAGCAGCAGCGGCTGCATCGTTTGCGGTTCATAAACTTCCCTGAGCCCAAGTTAAACCCAGTTGAAGATTCAACGGCATTCGGAGGTGGTCCAGCGGTCTTTGGAGCTGGCCAAAGCCAGGCGTGGCTGTTGTTTTGGAGTAGGCTTGCCTGCATTTTGGCATTGTGATGTTGCCCAGCCTCTCAAGCACATCCTAGGCCTAAACAACTAGGCCTCAAAACCTCAGGCCTCAATCCCGGAATTGCTAACATAAACCCTCAGCTCCGAAGCCCCTCACGCGGTTGCAAACCTGGGCTTGGCCAGGCAATTCGAAGAAGCCGAGCGCTGTTTGGCGCAGTTGGCCAGCCCGAGGCTCAAGGAGAGACTTGAGGAGTGATTTGAGGACTTCACGGGGCTTTCAAGTGTATAGGGCACACATAGGCTCTTAGGTTTGAGGGTTTCAGGTTTGTGGCTTAAAAGGCTTCAGGGTGCAATTGGGGTTTGCGGTTTCGCCGTTTTTGGGATGGGGCGATTGAGGCTTCAACGTCGAGGGCAGTAGAGATGGAGGAAAGTGGGAATGAGAATTTCATGAGAATCGTAACGGCTATCAGTTACCATCGCGATGTCACTGGAAGCACTGGCACAAGTACTGATGCTTGCGTTGGCGGTAGTAGTCGTAGTAGCAGTAGTGGCAAGAGAAGCAGAAGGAGTGGTTGTCGTCATGACCTTGACAGGGGAGCTTGCTGCTGCCGCCTTGGACCTCTGAGGTGAGCATCCAGAGCTCGCCGCCTCTCGAGAAATGACAGCGGCTCAACAGGCGTGGGACTTCAGACAGTACGCAGGCCTTGATATTTCAATTGGGTATGGTGGTGTTTTGTCAGTATTCTTTATTGCTTATTCTTAACATAGAGAGGGGGCATGAGGATAAATCATTCAGACCCCTATTGTGCACGGAGTGGAATATACATCTGTTACTGCTTGAAGGAACGGGTGTTAAGGGCTTAGTTTACGATTTAGGCTTTAGTTTATTCGTTCAGGGTTTAGGGTTCGTGCGTATGGTGCAAACCACACTTGCCCTTCGGGGGCGCGCATGCTACAGGCCCTGAAACAGAAACTTGAAGCCTCGACTCAGTAACACAAAAGCCAAGCAATGTAAAATCACCCACTTGGAGGCCCCAGCATTTGAGACTGCGGCTGAACAACTCTGTTTTTGCTGTTCTTTGACGTGATTGCGCCAGGCAGTGACCATGTGCAAGCTGCTCAATGGCGCTTAGCACATTTCTCGGTGGACGGTGAGTCAAGATCAAAAGCGCGACGCGCGAAAAGGCGGCAGTACAAATGATGCAACCGTCGTTGGCTTTGCATAGCATGGAAGATTCTCGCGGTGCTGCTGTGGGATATCGATGTCGAAATAAGACTGCAGAGCAATAGTAGTTAGATAGAACCAAACCCTGAAAATCAATACTATCTCTTCGTTTTTCAGGATTGCGGCGCCTGATTGGCGCATTATCGGCTTATTGTCGGCTTGCAGTGCCATGCCACATGCGGGGAAACGTTCCAAGCCAGGGTTCCTTCCGCTGTGCGACTTTTCAGTCGGAGCTTCTTGCATAGAGACCCCCCCAGCCCTCAAAAGATCAGAACGCAGAACATTGATCGAACGACTCTGCAAGAGCTGTGCAAGCGACACCCCGAATGCGCAAGGCCTCCAAACGTCGAAGCCCGTTTAAGCCACAAGTGGAACAGAACAAGACAAAGCCGACAACGCAACAAGAGCCAAAAAAGAATTCTGATGATTCCTTCATGAAGGGGCTGCAGCCATGCTATCGCCCCCACACTCACCCACTACGCGGCGACCTCGCTTCTCCGACGGCTCGCCAGCCGGGTTCCCAGGGTTAAGAGCTTGAGGTCTGTTGTCAGAGGGTCTCTCGGTCTTTCCTCTTGGAGAGGGGCTGCGCTGGATACTGGAGAACCATCGGGGCACCATGCAGGCTGTTGTCAGCACACACGGCGTCCACTACGGTAAGCAAGAACACGAAAACAGTAGCACGGCCTGACAGTATGATAAGATGACACGCCTTTTGCAGGCTACAGCTAGGTAGGTAGATCCTTAGATTCGGGTATTTATATACAGATATACATATATAGAATGAGAGGTAATTAATGCCTGAGACTGAGGATGGCTGGGAGGACCGGGGGCGCCGGAGCAGTGGCTCTGTCGACCGAATAGATCGCTATCGTGAGTCCTCACGGGCGCGCGAATCCTCGAGGCCTGGCTCGCGAACTGAGTTCTACATATCGGGGGTAGGGATCCTTACTATAAGGATCCTTGTATTCAAAGCCTATGTTAGGGTCCTTTTTCTGCTTGTGACTGCAGGCCCCCGCTTCCCAGCTGGCAGAGTAGGTGCTGCGCATTCAAGGGCGATGCAGCAACCATCGTGTTAGCCTTTGCATTTTTGCTGGGGCATTCATGTGTGTATGTGTGTATGTGTATGTGTATGTGTATGTATGTACGTGTATATATACATAGACAGATAGATAGATAGATAGATATGTATGTATACACACATATGTGTGTGTGTGCTCGTACGTACGTGCGTAGGTAGGTAGGTCGGTCGGTCGGTGGGTGGGTGGGTGGGTGGGTAGGTACGTACCTACGAATGTATGTAACTCAAAACGTGCGTGCTGTGCGTGTGTGTGTGTGTGTACTCAGTGCTGTACTTCTTGTACTCATGCGTGTGATCTCTATCTCTCTCTCTCTCTCTCTCTCTTTGTCTTCATTCCGGCTGGGACCGTTTCTGCCAGCATGAAGGCCACCAGATGACAGTCGTGCCCGAAAGCTGTCCCTTGGACCAGCGCCGCCACGGAGGACACTTTCATCCTCAGGCCGGGCGGAAGACTATTGCACACCTCACTGATTTACATGAATGCTGGAGTCCTGGTTGCTTTCCATCTTTGCAAGGCAGTTTCGATCTCAGTTCGCCGAAAGCCATGGAGGCGATGCTGTGGTTGCAGACATCGGCACTTGAGAAGCCTGTTTCGGCTGTGCAGGCTGGTGCTGGCTTCAGCAGCATGAGCAGCCAGTGGGCAGCGACAGCCCAGCTCTTCGATTCCAGTTTGCAGAACAGCCTTTGCTTGACACCGTCCTCATGTGCGAGCACGACACGAACAGCTCCCTTCAGAACACCAACACCACCACCTCGCACTCGGGCCGGGGCCATGAAAGGCGACGGCAACAGCAGTGACTACTCAGACGACTTTGAAGCACCGGCTCCTCGGCCGCAGCCACCTGGGGCCCCACCGCCACCAGGTCCAACCCCACAACCTGCACCTCGCCCACCTGGCCCTCCTGTGGCTCCTCCAACCTCTTCGGCTTCACTTGCTCCTTCGCTGCCGGCAGCCGCACCAAGCAACCTACCTCCATCGATGCCTCCCCCCCTGCCACCAGGCGCACCCGCTGTGCCGGCCGCTCCCGCACCTGCGAGGGCGCCCTTGATGCCTGAGCCTCCAGCGCCACCGACCACATCACCTGCACCACCCGCAACTGTGCCTCAAGCACCTCTAGCACCCAGCATGCTAGCTGCACCCCTCCCGCCTGCAGCACCTGTAGCGCCTGCGCCGCCGACACCTCCATCGTTATCATTCGGCACGTACGCGGGCGAAGCAACACGGGATGATGAAAGCTTACTGCGAATCCTGGGCGAGGTCAGCCCGCCACCACCGCCGGCTCGATCTCCAACAGCTTCCAGGAGCCCAGGCGGCTCTCGGAAGAGCCCGAGTCGCAAAGGCGATTCACCTGAGGAAACCACCAAAGTACACGTGGCTCTTCTTCTCAAGAAACCGTGTGATTTCATTAGTTTCTTGTGTACTGCTTCTTCTTCTTCCAGTGCAAGAGCAGTATCTGCAAGAGAAGCAAGGTGGTTGTTCAGCACCTTGCAGAGCTGTGTGAGCCTATCAGCATGGCACTTTGCTTGTCGGACTTCATCCTGGAGAAGGACGCAGATGCTCTGCATTGGACGTCGCTGTTCATTTCTCTCACTCTCTCTCTCTCTCTCTCTCTCCCTCGCTCTCGCTCTCACTTCGCAGCCTCAAGAAAGCGATTCCATCTGCTTCCTGGCTAAGGTCAAGGTGGCTGGAGTTCATCTCCGAAGGGGCATGCGTTTGGCCCCATGGCAACAGCCTTGAGTTGTCTTGCAGCTACCTCGTGGTATCTTCGGAGTAGACTTGGGAGCTTAAAGACTACGTAGTAGCTGAGCTTCAGATCTCCTCCGGAGTGGCTCGGAGTACTGCTTGGCATCACGTGGGGTCTTCGTTGTAATGGGCTGAACATGAAGCACGGGACTCAAATTTTGGGCCTTGCGGTAAAAGAGCTTTGCTGATTTTTGTTTAGGCAGGGCAAAGCTCCACTTCCAGTTGCAGCCGCTTCAGCAGTCTCCTGTGTACTGCACCGCAGGTCTCAAAGATGTCCCTGAGTTTGCCTGGCCCACTTCCCCCTCCTCATTTCCTTCCTGCGAGGTTCCATGGGAGGGACTGGAAAGATGCCAGTCCTACGCAAGTCTTCTCCACTGCCTGGAGCAGTCGACACAGCTGACCTTCGAGTGGCCGCAGGTGCAGCCCATCAGCACAGACTTCAAGTCTGCATCAAGCTGAAACAAACGCCAGAAGTGCATGCTGGAGCTTTGCTTCGGAGGTCACACCGCCTGCACCCGTCCTCCGCTCAGACTCTGAAAAGTGGCCCGGGTAACCGTCAGAGGGCAGAAAGCAGAGCTTCTACTGAGGACTTCATGTTCGTCTCCTACGAGTGGATATGTCCGCAATTCCTGCAGCGAGGATTCGATGTCCCACAAGCGAGGGCCTTGCCAACACTGATCCAGGCTCGGACCTTTGTCCCAACTGCCCCTTCGCACAGCCCCAAGCGTTAGGCAAGAGCTAGTTCATGGGTGGGCAAAGAGACCGAATTCGGGTGGCACAGCTCGTGAAGGGCTTCATGCAAGCTGCTTATGGGTAAGCCCGAGGCTTTCTTGCAGCTCCTGGTTGAAAAAGAGCTGTTTGCCCAAAGGTGCCGGAGGCTTCCAGCGCGGTCGCGCTCCTTCGCCGTGTCATACCTGGCATAGAGGACTTCATCGCTACATGGCGACATTGGAAGAAAACAGAAGATGCGGCGTGTTGAACGCGGGTTACCAGTGACAATCCTGTCAATCAAAGCGGCTGTGATACTGTGGTAGAAGTAAAATGCAACGGTATCCAGGTCTCGGACAAAGCCCACACCCATCGACACCTTCCAGTTGCTTCTGCGAACACGTGCTCGCACAATTTCATTCTTGCAAAGGTGGGGGTGAGCCATCGACAGGAGCTTGACCATTTGCTAGATTTGCTAGCTAAATAGCTTCAAGATGAACTCCAGCAGCGTTTCATGCTCATCCGAAGCATGCCGCCTCCGCATGTGCATGTGACAGCTAGAATCCTGCTAGAAAGAAAGGAATTATGCACGCATCCTTAAACAAAGAGGGCCCCTGAGGAAAAAAAACATGTTAAAAGCTGAGGATGGGCCACCTCGGAATCTTTGGCAACTATCTGGCGTGGGCCCCAGTTCTTCTCGCGCTGCATCTGTAACGATGGCAGTTTGGAGTCTCGCCGGAATCCTGAATTCATGTCAGTTTCGATTGCGAGGTATGGACAGAGTTCCTCAGAAGCTGCGAGAGCATATCCTGAAAGACTTCACCGACTGGGTCTCTACCACGGCAAATGGTGTCAGTATGTTAGGATGGTGGGTCGGTGGGGCTGTTAAAACCCATGGACAGCAAGTGCACCCCATCCACGTAGGCTTCCCTGCATTCCAAGAGGTCCACCCGCTTGCACATGCCACCGGTCAGAGGTATACTCTGGGTATGAGACTAGATGCCTCTCAGTCTGGATTCTGGCACTTGCAGCTCTCATCTAAGGGTTTTCCTACCAGATCTTCTGCAGGCCAGGACCCTGGCATCGAGCTCTTCGTCGGGCTCTTCGGTTTAGGGTTTTTTGGCCGCGCAGGTGAGACCTGCCGCTTACTGGCCGCGCACTTGCACCGGCCCTTCGACCTGTCTCCTCTGCTGGACGTGGGTTCTTTGGCCAGGCCGGGTCCCGGCCCCTTGAAGTGAGACTGCCATGGAACAGAATCGCTTCCTCACCGAATGCTCTGTCTGCAGACTTTGGAAGCAAGGCCTCTGATAAGGTCTCAGACCAGTTCCCATGCAGACGTTGCACAGGAGTTTTTTTCTCATCCGCACAAGGTGTCCAGACAGTGCCGCCGGTGTCTTGTTGCGTCGAGAAGCTGGCCGCTTTATCCCTTTGCGTGAAGCAGCTGAGCATCTCGGAGTCCGGTGATCTTAGGCTTCTTTGGGGTTCAGATAATTGAGCTTGGCGTGTTTCTGTACACATCTGTCCATAGTGTCAAGTCGCAACGCTAGATCACACCCTGTCGGCTTCGGAGCTGATGGCGTTTACCAGTTTACCAGGAGCATTTCTGCAACAGACGCTTCGCAGTGCCTCGAAGGTACTACGGGCGCGCTGCCCTGCTACTCACCAAAGCTGAAACGCTCCAAGACCATGAGCTGAACCGGGCTGCGACAGGTCTCCAATTGGCACCTCAGTCGAAAATTTGTCACCAGCAAAACACCTGAAGAAGTTTGGCACTATTGCCAAGTTCGGTGGGTGACACCGGTTCTCTCTTCCATCAGTTTACATGCACAGGTTCCTGTGTGCAGCGTGCAAGTTGTGTTGAACTCGTCGAAACTCAGGAACGCCAGCATTTGCTCCACGAGGCTCGCGAGGCGCTGGGCACTGCCCTGCACGGCCTCCCTGGCAGAGGCGATGAGAAGACCTAGGCCTGGAGAGAAGCCTCTCAAAAAATGAAGTCGCTGCTTGGAGGCCAGAAAAAATCGAAGGAAGGCCCGGGCCCGGAGCGGCGCGCCGGTTCGAGCTCTGATCCGCGCATGTGGTACCTTTTGGGGTCAGGCCCTCAGGAATGCGAGCAGCAGCAGCAGCAACAGCAGCAATCGTCGCCAGCATCATCGTATCATCTTTTTCATCATCATGATCATCATCATCATCATCATCCATCAAGGCAGGCATCATTGCGACCAGACCTTCCGCCAGCATCACCGCCATCGCCGCAGCATCGCCGTTATCGCCGTGCCACCACCGCCACCACCACCGCCACCACCCACCACCCACCACCACTGTCATGACCATCGCCATCGTATGGCGGCTTGTCATGCCATGCCGTGCCAGTGCAGCCATGGCCGTACGATTGTTGCTATATCGGGCACAAGTGCTGTGACGAGTTGTAGCGTCATGTGTGACCACTTAGTGAGCCGTCGTCATAATCGTCGTTTGCGTCGTCAACACCATCCCCAACAGCCCAACAGTACAACGTGACTACCAGCCATTACCACTGTTACTTAGTGAGCTCGGAAAGCCTGAAACTCCAAGCCCGGTTGGCGAGGCGAGTTGATTCTGGCCCGCTGCCTTCTGGATTTGCGGAAGGGTATCCAGTTGCAGGGTGATGTTCTGCAGGGGGTTTAATTGCAGTCTTGTTCCCTAGAATGCATCTGGTGTTCTTCCTTCCAACAGCCTCAGCCAACTTGACCTTCAACCTAACCGCAGGGCGAAACGGGCCGTCAAAAAAGAAACAATAAACCCAAAGCACCAAGGCCACACAGGCCTGGGTCCCGAAACTTTAAGCCCTCAAGCTACCCCTCCGCTCCCCTCCCTCACATTGAGGCTGGTGATGTGCAGCCTTGGATCGGAATCAGAAGGGCGACAGGCAAGTTGGCGCTGACAGATATCACGATGCGATCACGATAAACCTTTATGACTGTGCTAATGATGCTATGATGATGATGATGATGGTGATGGTGATCATGATCGTGATGGTGGTGGGTACTAGTAGCATCGTGGTAGTTATCACTGCATGGACACTACGACACCACCTCGGTAACCTAGTTCTGGTAACGCCATGAAAAGTAAACTGCGGCTACGTAGACGGAGTTGCTATCGTACCTACATGATTCCTTCGCCGTATGTGGCTTCCTGTCAGTGCTTGCCGCATTTCGAATGACGGCACGTGCCCAAAGCCTAAACATGAAAACCAAGGGAAAAGCAAGGCCGTCATCGGCCATTTTTCGCAAGGGAATGTTACTGCGAGCTTGTATGAGTGTCATCTGTTTCCTTGCCCGTGCCTCACTTCAGGCATACCGTCAGGCCCTTTCGCTCTTGCCCAAGGGCTTGTTTGCTCATGCGGTCTACTTCAATTCGGTGCTATCCTCAGCTGAAGCAAGATTTCGTCGAGTGCCGACTACTTCTACAGGAGTCACAGGTCCAAGAATGGCTTCAGGCCTTCGCCGGATGTCCCGCCGAGGCCTTGATCTACTCCCGGGACGCAATGGCAGGGAACTCGGCTGCTGAGGCAGCCGCAAAGCGTGCCCTACACGAGTTCCGACGCTGCTGCCGTGGCATGCTGAGGAGCTGTGTGGAAGTGTCTCTCCGGTCATGTCGCAACGATGGGTTCGACTGATGCGAAGCAACCGCTAGTGAACTAGTGCTTGCCTACACGAGGAGGTGCCTGTAGCTTGTCCCGCTTGGTAGTGCCTATTTTGCATATTGGTGTTATCGGCTTTGTTCTATGCATAACTGGTGCCCACATGCCGGTACGTTGTGTTTACGCCCCATGCCTTCACCTATCAGCCCCATGATTCTGATTGTGCTGCAGGAGGGGCTGAAGTGGACAGAACTCGTGCAAGCTTTGCAGCACGTGTTCTCACCTGGCAGAATTCGTTTCACAGAATTGTACAGGGCATAGTCCTACATGGGACGGCTCCCGGCTGAATCCACTTCTGATTCTGTTCCTGAGGGTTTTGACTCCTCAAATCCTGCTTCATAAGATGCCAAAGACGGGGTTCGCATCGAAAAAATGCATGCTTCCTTGACATGACTGATCCAGATCTTGTATATATTAAGCTTAGACAATGATATCTAGAGATTCCGAAGCAAAACCAGTCATACCAGAGATTCTTAATCGAATATAATCGAATCTCTCAATAATTATAATTATGATATGAGAAGTGACTCTATTTATTTTTATTGGTTCTTATAGTCGTATTTATATAGATATATTCTTGAAATTTAAGCTCTAGATATGATATAAAAAATATTACAGAAGACTATTTATTTTCTGAAATATATATATATATGAAGAATTAATATTTATATTTGATAGTTTGATTTGGTTTCTTTATTAATTCTCTAGTATTTATATTATAAATTTCATACATCTAATTGAAAATATGATATTGATATAGAACTTTAGATTTTTATATAGAATTTTTATTTCTAGTATTATTTTGATCGTTTTTATAATTGTTCTGCATAGATTATTTTAGAAAAGATATATGAAATTTGATTTAGATTTTCGATAAAATAGAGAAATTAGCTTATAGCTTTAAGATAATACGAGAAAGGTTTTGGATAATTCTACTATTAGACCGAATTATAGATAGGCCGTCATATTTGAAGATTTATCGATAATTTATATGAGCCGTTAAAATTTCTATAGTTGTAATTAAGAGTAAGATGACCGTGGAATATCGGATCTTATTAATATTTTTGGAAAGCGATAGGAACTTTCTAAAAACGATACGATTAATAACGGTTATTTGTTATGATATATTAGTTCTGGCGCGGCATAGATGCCTTAATTTTCTATATGATATACGATTATATAATCCACTAGTTCGTTTCGTGACCCATTGCCCATTCTGATGGACAAAGGGCAGATAAAGGGTAGTCATGGGCAGCTCAAGGCCATAAAGGGCAATACAGGGCAAGTAAAAAGACAGTAAAGAGCAATAAAAGGTAGCCAAGGATAGTAAAGAACAGGTTAAGGGCTGTAAAGGGTAGTACAAGGCCGGTAAAAAGTAATAAAAATAAGTCACGAGAAGTAAAGGACCGCAAGGGGCAGTAAAGCGTAGGGCAAGTAGCTACGAGCAAGATCAGTGAGTCTAATGGTCTTCTTATTTTCATAAAAGCAAAGCAATTCCTCTCAGAAATATGGGACAAAATCCTTGTAAAGCGATAAGACCCCCCCCCAAATCATCTATAATTTGGCCATAAATAACAAATTTTAACGAATGTTCATATCTAGAAATATTCGCCCTAATCTTATTTTTTAAAATCCCTCCAATATAGAATAATATTAAAGATTTCGGCAAAATTAATTCAGAAATTTTTTTATCTTATTTCTATAATATATATTATCCAAGATATTATCATAATAAATATTAATTAAATTAGTTTTATACGAAATATTAAGAGATGCTTATATTATTTAGAGAAAAATTGTTCTAGAAAAATTTTCTATATTATTTAATTTATTTATATTATTCTATTTTCTTTTTATAGTTTATTTGGATCTTAATAAAAATAAATATTTCTAAATACGTAAATTATATTATATAATATAATTTATAAAAAATCAAATAAATATACAAAGTTTAATAATCAAATATTTATATAAAATATAAGAAATTTTCTAATCTCATATTAAACCGTAATTTTCTCTTTATTTTCTATTTATATATACAATTTAATTTCAAAATATTTAAGATAATCAATATAAAAATATTTTTCAAATTATAAAATATCTATAAAATATTTATTGAATTTAATGAAACCTATATTATATTTATAAATCTAAAAAATAAATAATTATTAGAAGAAATATATCAAAATTAAAAAAAAATTCTCCGATATATAGCCACTAAATTTTGAAATAACCATTGCAATCGCTCTAGCCCAAGAACGACTTAATCCAATAAAATCATAGAGAAATATATATTTCTATTCATGTTTACGGCCAGAACCATCTTTTATCTCCAACCAGGATTCTTACCCGGACCCTTCGCCCTTTCCTTTCCCGGCATCCTGCCCTGCTTCCTCACCTTAGAAGTCTTCGGGGGCTGCGGAACCCTTTTTGAGACCAATATCAATCCTGTGCAGAATTTCTGTGTCCTTGAAGATACGGAACTCTGACATGTCGGTACTGCGGTCGTCCAGCTACAACAAGCCACAAGGAATTTTTGTCATGCTTTTTGCGGCTCTAAACAGGGTCTGCAAAAGCGAGCACCACAGAGAACCGCTCCGGGCGTCGTGGCAAGATGTACTTCATGGAACCCCAAAAATCGCAGATCGTCTTGCCCTCGAGCTCTGGAGACTGAAGCTGAAAGCCGGCACGAATCCCATGCTTCCAATCATAGCGTGCTGACCCCGAAAACACCACAAGGCTGCGGCGCCGAATGAGCAGGTCCAAGTCCCGGTCCGTCCATGATTTCGATTCTGTTTCCAAACCGCTCCGTGGCTGGGCATCCGAGGGCGTAAAGGTCAGCACGGCGCCACTAAGAATGCCAAGCAAGAAGACATGGGGGCCGTCAGCAACGGGGTCTACATGCGGATGGATCATGAAGAAGGAGTCAGTTCGATGGTTGATTGTGCAGTCCCGCAAGGGCCCGAGCTTGTAGCCCCTCTCTTCTTGAAGGCGCTGCACAAGCTTGCCGATCACTGGAGGCAGTTTCTTAACATCCAGATCTGCCCCGTAGCCCCAGGGCGCGACGATTCCCTTCTGAGCACCACGCGATTCAGGCCGCCCGGTGACCCTTCTAGACCGATTCTTGCCATAGTCTTCTCGCAGCTGCCCGGCGGCATCCACTACCTGCACCGATATCTTCTCCTCTTCAAAGCAAAACCCATGAGCTTCCACGACAGTTCGAAGTTCTCGAGCCAAGGCTTCTTCTTCTGACTCATCCAGGAAATTGGGTTCCACCCACAACCCGGGATTCTCCGCCTCCGTGATGACGTCGCCTTTCATGTTTCGGACCCGCTGCAAGTCATCCGCCGTTCCAGGACGAAGGGCTGAGGGGCTCCCCGTCAGCACCAGCTTCTGCGTGGCTCGTGAGTAGTGAGCGCGCTTGACGCCAAAGTCTTGCCACAAGGCTGTTGGGGACATGCTTTCACCAACGCCGGTGTTCCAGCCCCAGCAATGGACATGAGAGAAACCAGGAGTTTGTCGCTGCTCACGTCTGTTGCCGACCAACATCCCTGCAGCAGGTGCTGCGATGGCGAGAAGTCGGTGCCCCTTCATTGGTGGAAGCTGCAAGCACGACGTCGCAACACTCTAATCAATGTTCGTGCACGTAAACACTCCTGCACAACCGATGGTTCCATGCGACCGAAGAGATACCCTGCCGGCCATCTTTGAGCCTAGGTTTCTGATGCGGCTCGTGTTGGAGGCACGGAGCCACGCAAGCTGTCGGACTCCTACAAGACTGCTCTCCCAACCAATATCGACAGCTTGGCTCGGTCGATGGCTTAAAAATCAAAGCGCCCTTAAATGCTTACGACAATGCTAGACCGTCTCGGAGGAGCGCATTGCAGGCAGAGCACCCTTTCCATTCTCGTTGAGCCACGGCTCTGGGCCCCATAGCTTCCTGTTCGCCATTGGCCTGTCCTCACTTAGGCGCCTGCAACTTGCCCCTGGTTGTCGCGGTGCAAGCCAAAAAAATCTAGCTCTGTAAGGGCTCTCTGGGGCAGTTGCAGACATCTACACTTGAGACTGTGCGAGTTGCACTGTCTCATCTCAGTTAAGTCGCTGGCCTCAGTGCAAGAGGAGGTGCAGAGCATCCATGCTACCCAGCTACCCTCAATCAGCCGTGTGCAGTCCGGATCTGACACCGGGAACCCGGCTACAACAGCTCTTTTTCTGCCTTTGCTGACCTGCAGGCCACTGTAGTGGCGCGCGTACGCACAAAAGGCACAAAGGTTGCTAACTAAGATAAGCTGCAATCCACTCTCAAGCCCTCCGTCCGTCACCACGGCATTTTACACTCACCCCCCATGCTTGCCTCGCATGTTCGGGTCGAGGACTTGGATGACCTGCTGTTTCTTGCGGGCAGGCGGTGCTTCACTCGCAGGGCACTGCAGCTGCAAGAGAGTGCAAACCCAGCATCTGGACGCCAGCGATGCAGCGACGAAGGAGCGGTGCTCCCTTGAGGCTTCAGCTCAGGTCCCTGCCGTTTTGGCACCATGGCCCGGCTCAGCAAGGCCTCGGCGGTCGTCACCGCGGCCCGCAGCCGGCGTGCCAAGCGTCGATCGCTGGCCTCCTGGCCCGGGGTGCACGAAGTGAGAAACTTCACGGGGCAGTGAAAGGGATGGATCATTGCTTGCTGCCAGAAGCGCGTTCCCTTCCGGCCTGGCGGGCACGCTTCTTTGCGGCTTTCCCGGAAAAACAGACATCTCCAGCAGCCACCAGTCGATGGACTTCACGTGCCTGCAAGGACAGAAGTCTAAGACCTGATCTAGCGCGAGTCAGGGCCCAGCCATGCCGCCGAAGCGCACTTCGGCGAGAGCGCTGAAATGCACGTGGCTGCGCTGACGTCGTTTGCATCCACTCCTCGCGCGAAGCTAAGATCTGTAAAGCAGATCGCCGGGTCGATGTCACTATGAACACTTTGCTTTTTGAGCACTCAAAGAAACTCTCAATACCATCATCTTGACCCTAAACCTTAAATACAACTGCCCCGAACCCCTTGACTCCCATCTCTCCCAACAAACTGTAACAAAAGCACATGCTTTACCAAACCCAAGCCCCACGGACCCAAAACACCGAAATCCAAAAAGCCCCGAATCCGTAAAACAAAACCTCTTGACAAAAGCCTACGAGCCCCATACGAACCCCTACACTCAACACGTTGAGGAACCCCCTAGCACCTTGAACTAGAGACCATAAACTTCTACCCCCCAA